TTGCAGAAACTTTTCTGCTTTTACACTTTAAGAGAAGTCCAGAGTTGCTGGTTGATGTGTGTTTTTTGATGCTTTAAGAAGTCTAGAGTTGTTTCTAGAGAATGTGAGGTCTGGTTATCTCTTGTGTATCATCAATTCTAAGAGCCAACCTTCAACAAAACAGGGCAGAGAAGGGGAAAGTATTATGATTTCGGATGTATTCAGATACGCTCCTATCTGTTTAATTTGACTGCTGGAAGATATATTGGATATTGATTTGATGAGTTCAAACATGTTGCTTGTATGCACCTTAAAGTTTCAATTTTGACTGCACCTGTTGCATGCCTAGCTTTTGGATGGTCTAGTCCTTATGGTGACTGTATGCTAGGTTCAATTTCTATTTGGTACGTGTTGGCCATATTGCATGCTCTATGGTTTAAGACAATAAGTGAGAGAATGGTTCATAAACAACTTTGTGCTAAAGTTAACCATTCTAAATATTACCTTCTTTTGGTTGTTTCTATTTAGTATATTACATTGTTAAGCCATTCTCATTTTCTTCTTTGAAGACTTGGGTTCTGCTAGAAAATGTAGATGGTAAAATACCTTTTCAATCATCAACATTAAAGCATACTATGTTCTGGGATTCCTTTTAGTTATGAGTATGAATCACAAGTTCCTAAATATTATTTTGTAGTATACAGATTTTTTTTCTGTTTTGCAATTCTTTTCCCTGTATAGATACCCAAATAATTAGATAGTGATCACATGTTAGCATGAAAGATATCATTTTTTTCATTAAGAAACATTTTCATTATTTTTTTCTCTTTTGGAATTTTTTGTTTTTTTGTTTTTCAATTACTGCAGCTAATTAATTATTTTTAAATATGCTTGATACATTCTAAAAAAATGCATAAAATTTGTTATGAAAAATTACAATTCTCTTGAATGTATATTTGCTATATTCAGGCCGCATTATGGTAACTTGTTTTAATATTGAACATGAAAGGAAAAATGTTATTATCTTAAGTGGTTTTGGACCTCAACCATTTCATTACACATGACTTTAAGCATCTGGGAAAGCATAAAAAATTTGCAACGACATTTTACTCCAACATAATATTAAAAATAACATGTTCTTAACACTTTTTAACTTACCTTATGGTATATGTTTTGTTATGAAATGTGTCCATAAGTCAAACTTTGTGTATTATTTGGAAGAAAACGTATTTGTACTATGCATTCTATTTTACATTTTCATATTCTATGTTTTGTTTATGCCATGGAAACCTCTTATTATATGAAGTACTTCAAAGACATCTTGCAAAAATTTAATATTTAAAAATGAAATGTATCTTAATAAAGACATGTGCATCCCGCTGCAACGCACGAGTACACAATTAATATTTAAATAATAATAAAAAGTTCAAATTATATCAAAAACAATATTTTTTATAATATTTAATTTGATATAATTTTTGGAGTTTCAAATTAATCAACTATTATATGTAACTTAGATTTTGTTCTAAGGTATATTTTAGATTTTATTTTTTTAATGACTTTCATATAAAGTTTATTTCTTGATTAACAACTAATATTAATTAATTTAATTGAAAATTCACATATGAAAATCAAAGTAAATGAAGGTTTTCGCTATTAATGCATTAATCATTACATATCTACATGCGACAATGACCTTCAGTTTAAACTCTTTTGTATAGGAATGAATAAATGATCCATTTATTAGTTCAACGACTTTTTTAACTCTAAATTTGTAATATTAATCAAATCATTTCTTAATGATCGTTTGTGTCTACAATATATAGTTTAGGTTTTTGTCTCATGAATCTTGTAAATTATGCTTCATTTACTTACACATTGATTAATTTTGATACAAAAACATTTAAGCCTATATAATCACTTCAATTATTATATCAAGATTTGAAATTTCGAGTTTGATTTAGCAACAAATGTAAAATGAGAGTTCGAACGACCATAAATAATGGCATTTGTCACTTGAATCGAATGAACATAATATGTGTAATTTACAGATTAAGGGGGTGTTTGGGATTGTTTATAAAAGTTGTTTTTTAACTTATTTCAGTCTGGCACCGGTGATAAGTTGTTTTCTGGTGTTTTGATAAGAAAAAAAACTGATTATACCGGTGCCAAACCAGTAATAAGTTGTTTTTGATAAGTTAATATTTCCTGACTTATGAAAAACTGCTTATTACCAGTTTACAATTTTAACCATGTATTGTTTAACTCCGGTTTGATACCATATAAGTTAATAAGCACTTTTACAAAAAAACATAAGTTGTTTTAAATAAGCAATCTCAAACACCCCTAAATGCTTACTTGGTAAGTGCTTACCGAATAAATTTTCTCATCAGATGAACATGACAAAGGCCAAGAATCTTACCGGGTAAGAGTAATGAGAAGGATGAAGAGTGTTACCAGATAAGTGAAGATGAAAACTCTTACCCAGGTTAGTGTTTACCAGGTAAATTGTTGCATTCGATACGTTTTGATATACTAAAATCTTACGCATCAAAATAAATTATAGTGTTGACTCATATCAGTAAGCATTTACCGGGTAAGCATTTACCGGGTAAGCATTTAGAACAGCCCCTTAAATGTGTTTGGAATCTTTGGTCCTCAGTTTTCTATCTTTTATTCGGTTGGTTTTCATTGAATTGTTGCATTTTTAAAACATATTATATGTAGTTTAAGTGTAATATTTAAGACCATCTTCAATAGGGACGTTAGATTTTACACCGAATAACATATTACATCGGATTTTAGATACCATTAAAAATGTCTTACAAATTAAATCTAATTCTTTTACCTCTATTACAAAAAGAGAAACAATTGGTTTTTTAGATAAATAACATTTACATAAAACAAATTAAACTAGATTTGAATTCGTAGCTTCAAAAAAATTGGGATATTTGATTAGAGTTGGTTTCTGGTAAAATTAAAAGTTATCATGAAAAAAGTAAGAATATTTTTTTTTTATCAATCCTCGTTAAATATTAAAACTAATAAAATATACCAAATTAGATATTTTTTAAACTTGTCACAATAACTACTCTTTTTACACGATTTTTCACCTGCCATTTTAATACAAAAACATTTTGATAACGGTTGTTTTTATAATCTATCTATGGGAAAACAATTATGCCGACATTATCATTTAAAATATAATACATATATATACACACACATGAAATAGCACCAAAACCAATAATCCTACCCCTTCTGCTTTTAAGTTACTGCCACAGAGCCAATATAAAAATAGGTGGAGTCCAGAGCTATTAAAATGGTGGGTCCCATTTCATCAGTGCTACTGGGGCCCATCTGTTTCTCACTCTACACCCAGTGGGCCCACCACCTTAGCCTCTATGATTTCAAACACATTATCACATCATGGACAAAATCGTACGAAAATCGTTTAATAATGCTACAAACACTCACACATGGGTAGGTCTCATTTCTATATATACACAACTTACTCAATACTCACAGACTACATATATGTATGTATGTATGTATATGTCTTTGTACACGATCAAGTTTGTTAGAAAACTAAAATGGATTAGAAATTTGAAAAGGGTTTTTCTAACCCCACCATGTATATTTATCATGATCATGAATGTATTATTTATTTATTCGTAAAATACAACAACATACATTTTAATTTTAATATTTTATTTTATTTTTAGTTTTTTAGATATTATAAAATGATTTGATGGTTTTGAAAAATCGATAACGTTTTTATTTTTAAATAAATATAAATTTAAAGATATATCTTAAAACTTTGAAAAAAGTATATAAATATTATCATCAAATTAACTATTTAATAGTTCACGTTTTTTATAATTTCTCTAATTTTTTTGTTATGATTTAATCTACACTTAATAACGAAGTAATTTATTTCTTGTTTAATAATACAAGTTTTTATAAAAACAACAATTAAATATCCTGTTATGACTTATTGATTATTTTAATTATATTTTAGTTTTTTTTTATATTTAATAGAAATATTTATTCTTATTTGATTATGCTTATATGCTATTTGTTACATTGATTCAAATATGTAGCTTTATTAAGTTGTATTTATGCACAATTTATTTATAATCTTAAATTTTAAGTAATGTGTATCAATAAACAATACTTTATGCATAAAAAATAATTTCTAAGAGTTTCTATCAAATGTTTTATAATATATTATAAATAAATATAATATTTACCACATGAGAAACATGTGACACGTTGTATATGATTCCTAAGTTTCTAATCCATTTTGGGTTCTTGACAAAACTTCTCCCTATGCCTTATTGAAGAGTTTAAATAATAACTACACTATTTTACATCAAGGTTAGAATATCTAAAACACTCAATCATCAAATATAATGAATCGGTGGTACATATGATTGGCACAAACAATTTCAGTCACATGCCAAATTACTCAGCACACTATTTCATACCAATACGACATCATACGTAAAGGTAGTCTATTTTAGATTTTCGAAGTGTTCTAAGATATTAGTATATGTGCTCTCAGTAATTTCATGGATAAAGGATTTATTTTTCTAAAAAATACGATTTATATATTTTATAAGAAATGGCTTTAATTTTATCCAACTCTATCCATAGAGATAATTAGGGTGTAAAATATACAAGTCAACCCACGAGCTAGAGATAATTAGGATGTAAAATATACGAGTCAACTCACGAGCTATTCGAGATCGATTCGGTCAAAACTCCGTCAACGCTCTACTCGAATAGGCTCGGCTCAAACTCGACTAGACATATTAACAAGTCAAGTCCAATCCACCTTTCTTATGCATCTTTTTGTTCAAATTTTTTAACTTTTCATCAATGTGAAACAACTAAAACTCAATTTATCATTTGAGAATACTCAATTTTCATGATGTCACATCATTACCTTAAGGTTTTCATTTATATAAAAATAAAGATCAGTCAAAATAGGAACAAAACAAAAAGGAGGTAAGAGGGATTGAAAGGCATTGTTTCACAATTTTATTTCATATTTTGAGCATATGAACACCATATAAACATCAAAATAAGGCCCCATGAACCATAGTACTCACCCTCATGTTTTCCATGATATCATCATCTATATGTTTACTTTCATATGATCCTTAATTTAAAGACCCTTCAGGATTAAAAACCAAAAGGATTTAACAAGAATTAATATTCAACCAAAACAACTAATTCCTAAGGAAATCCCCTTCTTTTCCTTCCCTTTCCTTTTGTATTTTTGGTATGGCCACCCACAACCACCATGAGCCACCACTACCTCATCACATCACATCACATCACATTGCAGCTTGAAGGGTTCTCATCACTGAAGTAGTGTGTGAGGGGGTCACCCTGTGGTGGTTGAGGGTAGGGGTACTGTGGATATGGTGGTTGCATATAGTTCACCGCCGGTGGTGGCCGAGCGTACATCATCGGCTGAAACCTTTCGTTTCCATTTGCTCGTTGTTGGTTCATCATTGCCGCCGCTAATTGCTGCTGGTAATAAGGGTTTCCAGCCATGGCCTCTGCCCCACCACCTTGAAAATAACTATTGCCCCCGCCACCACCACCTGCCGGAAGTCCTTGAACAGCCTGGATGTTACTCATTTGACCCATGGGCATGTGACCCATGGGTCCCAGCCCACCCCCACCACCACCACTCATGCTCATCATGTTTGGCATGCCATGTACGCCATCATTCATTCCACCTTTCTTGACTCCATTACCATTCATGTTAGGAATGCCGCCGCCACCACCGTTGTTTTTGTTTTGACCACCGCCACCGCCACCGTTCTTAATTTGACCGTCAGCAAGACCAACACCACCGTTCTTGCCACCATTCTTCCCTGCTCCACCACCTTGATTTTGATTGCATCCTTTCTTTCCACCGGCATTCATCTGTACAGGAATACTCCCATTGCCGCCACCACCTCCACCTCCACCACCTTTCTTCCCACCGTTTCCACCAGCATCTCCAATTTGGGGAGCACCCTTCATCAGATGCGGTGGCATCTGCCCACCTTTCATGAACTGTGGATTCATCATCATATTAGCCATCTGAGAGCCACCACCACCGCCACCTGCCATCACCGGCTTCTTCATCGGAAGATCATCCATATCATCATCAAACTCATCATCATCATAATCATCATCATCAAACTCATCATCATAATCATCATCGTCGAACTCATCATCACTCTCATCCGACTCCGGCATCTTAAACTTAACCGACTTTTGTGCATCCTTGGGGCCGCCACCACCACCACCACCGCCTCCGCCACCACCACCGCCACCGCCTCCGCCACCACCACCCAAAGCGGGCAACTTCATGTCCTTAAATTGGGGAGGCAACTTCATATCTTGAAACCCTTTTAATTGGTGAAGCTGCTGAAGCTGTTGAAGCTGTTGAAGCTGTTGCAGGGTTGGAGGACCGCCGCCACCACCACCACCACCCTTCTGTTGTGGTTGCCCTCCTTTCCCCTGCTGATTTCCACCGGCTTTCTGTCCCTGGATTTTGTTGCCCTTACCAGCGTCGATTTGCAAGTTCTTTAACTGATTATTCATCTGTTGATTTGGTTTGGGAGCACCCCAAATCTGTGCTTGTTTCCCACTCTTTGCAAGTTTCTTGATGAGTGCCGCCGGATCAACATTTCCCGACACCGTCACTTTCCCCTGTTCTGAATCTATTACGATGGTGTAAACACCTATTTTAAATTAATCATCATTAAATGAAACAAAAAACACAGAATTAGTCTTAATTACCCATAAAAACCAACCAAGAAACAAAATTTATTGTTGAAATGGGAACGCGATACCTTCGATTTTCTGAAGGGTTTTCTTCACTTTTCGTTTACAACCATCACAGTGGATATTCACTTTCAGGGCACAAGTCTGCACTCAGAAACAAACAGACAAAATGAAACCAAAAATCAAAATCAAAACCAAAATCAGAAAGAGGAATAATCTTTTCCATGTTAGCAATTATTGCATCAAGTTTTGGGTCAAAAAAAGGGAAAGATAAAGAGGTTAAAATCAACGAAAGGGAAAAAGGGAAGTGAGATTTTGTATGAATTTGTTTTCTTGAGTTGAAAACAAGCAAGGCATTTGAAGCAAGCAATGTACAGATGAACATGGTGAGTTTATAACTAATATTTATTTTCATTTTTCTTTTTGCCAATTATGAAATTAAAATGGAAGCAATTTGAAGAAAATGAGAGAGCTTTCTGATGGGTGGGTGAAGTTGAAGAAAACAAAAGAAATTGAAGATTTTAAGAATGAGGATGTACCTGAATCTTTAAGAACTCTTCTTTACTCATAATTTCAAAGAAAACCCAGAAGAACAAAATGGAGTTTGTTGGTATTTATAGATCTGAAATACCGGGATTAAAGATTAAAAAAATTGCAAGAGGGAGGCTTTCTAATATCCAAACAAAGAGAAGGAAATGATGATGAAAAGGAGAGAGATGAGTGTGAGTGTGTATTATAAGAGGGAATGGGTAGACGTTAAAACCTCTCTGATTCTTCTATTTCAGAGTTGAGATGTGGTTGTGGGGTTGGGAGTAAAAATGGAGTTTAGGGGGGGGGGGGGGGGTGGTTTTGTTTTTTTTTTTTTTTTTTTTTTGGAACGGCCGATATTAAAAAACCAAAAAACAAGAAGCTAGCAAGTTGCTAGCGGATTCAAAATCGCCCTCAACGGGCTATTACACCAAAGTTTCCATTCAAGATGTTTACAATTTTTCGATCTAACCTTAAGCCAATTGAAGGAGAAGAGAACAATATCTTTGAAAATCGTCTTCGGCATTTTAGCCGGTTTGTTATGAACGAGATCATTACGATTAGCCCAAATAAGCCAAATGAACCCCAAGAGAATCACCTCCATAGCCTTAGCCGCCTTCTTGCCTTTGAACGGGAACTTTGCCGCCGCAATGAACTCCGCCAAATTAGTAGCTTGAAAAGGAAACTCCGGCCACCAATTTTTTACAAGCGCGCCAATTTCTTTAGTTGTGGAGCATCCAAAATCCGTTTCTAGATGACAAAGACAACACAGACACATATACGACTCCATACGAATACCTCTATTCATAAGATTACATCTAGTGGGCAGCCTAGATTTGGATAAGTGCCAAAAAAGCATATTAACTTTACCTGGAACGGATTTATTCCACAATGTACACCTGTGATCCGATTGAAGAAACCACTCCTCAATTTTTTCCCTACACGTCTTAACCTTGAATACACCATCGTCAGAGAGAGACCAAACACGGTTGCCACTTGAATCCAAAGACCATAAGTTGGTAAAATGAAGACTCACTCAAAAGAGAGTTCCACTTCGTGATCGCACCCCATACCCCCGACTTCATACTACCATCATGAAATAAACCACCATCCACGCCATGGAAAGACTTGATGCAGTTTTTCCATAAACTATCCTCGTCAGTGAGGAATCGCGACCACCATTTCCCAATAAGACTCCAGTTAAGCGCCTTTAGACTGCCTATACCGATACCACCCTTATCCATCGAGTTACAAGTAACACTCCATCTAATCCAAGTAATCTTCCTTCTATGTGTACCTCCACCCCATAAGAATTTGTTCCTGATGCTCTCAAGAGAGTTAATCACACAATCGGGAGCCTTAAAGAGAGAAAGCAAATAGACTCCCAAACTACCTAGAACCGACTTGCAGAGGATCTTCCAGCCACCAAAGGATAGAGCCTTAGCCTTCCAATAGGAAAGCTTCTCATGAAACTTAGAAATCAACTTAGACCAATTACAACGCCTACTCATTTAAGCACCCACCGGAAGGCCCAAATACATGAAAAGTAACGACGCAGACTTACAAAACATTCTCCGAGCAAGGAAACCGGACTCCCCTTTCGTAGTCCCAATACCATAAAGGCAACTTTTATGAAGATTAATTTTTAAGCCAGATGATAAGAAAAAACACCTTAACAGACGAATAAGATTAGTCCCATTAGACAAGGACCAATCCCCCAGAAAGACAACATCGTTAGCGAATTGGAGAAGCTTTAAGACGGGGCCGCCATGGGGAAAAGAAATGCCAGAGAAGAGGCCTTTAAACCGGGCTTCCAACATAGCAACACGGAGCGCCTCCATAGCAATGATGAAGAGGAAAGGGGCAAGTGGGTCGCCTTGCCTCACCCCCTTTTCCATTAAGAATTCCTCCGATGGACTACCATTAACAAGAATAGAGACACTCGCGTTTGAGAGTAACCCACGAATCCACTTCCTCCAAGTAAGACCAAACCCCATCTGGTTCGTAACATCATCTAAAAAACCCCAGTTACAGTTTTAGTCCTTGGGTTCAACAATTTGTTGAAAACTGCTATTTTTGTCTATATGTTTTTTTGGGTAAAAAATTGATTACCGGTAATTTCAATTGATTTCTCACGGACATCTTCAAAGAACTAATATGATGAGGTATTGTTTGGTTCACTTAGCACCTAAAGTGAGCGTGGGGCCCGCCATTAAACATTAGACTTGTCTTGTATTTGGATAAAGTAGGTCCGTCTCTTTGACAACTGAACTGTACGTCGAAGGCTATATGCTTTTCAAATTGCGATTTTTGTCTTTATGGTTTATATTTTTTTCTTATTTTTGTTCATGAGGTTTACGATTTACCGTCGTTTTAATCCTTAATACTTAATTGTACCAAACTAATGAAGTTAGTTTTATAGACAAATTCAACAATGAATTACAAACTATAAATGTAAAAATCGTAATTTCAAGAATATATAAATAACAATCATAATTTTTACATTGTAGTTTTTGAAGCCATGCCTAAGGGCCAAGCCGGCTTGGTGATATGGCTCGACTATGGGCTTCGTTGTTTTGTTCCTTTTATCTTTTAATTATAGCATGTGAATTTAAAAAGGGAAAATTTCAAAAGAAAAAAAAACCAAACAAACTTTATCGTTTTGATTGATTAAGTTTTTGAACTATTTTCGAAACAAATAAACTATTGAATTTTTTATTTTGAATTATTAAGTCTCTTAATATTATTTTTTGAATAAATAAACCATTGAATTTTTAAAAATTGGTTAATTACATTTTTTTAATCTAAAAAGTGTTGGTCATGTTAGGGTCTATAAGATGTGTACAACAGTTTGCATAAGGGGGGGGGGGAGGGATGAATACAAACATATAAAACTTTTGAAATTTAAAATATATATTGATAAAGAATGATCAATACAGATTTTACAAGATTGTTTGCGGAATAATAAGGTAAATAAAACCTATCTAAACAATCTAAAGTTACACACTAGTTCTTAGCAAATAAAGAAAAGATTTGTTGTTAAAGACTTAGAGGAAAGTAAGTTCTATCTGGGAAAAAACTGTTTAGAATACAACAAAGAGATTCTAACTTGCTCTTGAAGATGAGCGTATTGTGTTATTAGATGTGTGTGTTCTTTTAGTTAAGTTCAAAGTAAGGAGTAAGAGTATCTCTGCATGGAGATAGAACACAAATATTTATACCCATTGCATTAAACGCACATTTAATGCAACGTGGTAGGGTTAGAACGCGTGTCAAGCTTTTAAAGAAGGACTTGTCCTTTGTTACAGTGAATAGTACAAAAGCCTATTGTTGGTCCCTTGAGGGTCTACAAGATAAGTAAAACAGTTTGTAGAACGGGGGGGGGGGGGTGAATACAAACACAATATTTTCTTATTTAAAATGTATATTGATAAGAGAAGATCAAAACAAATTTTACAAGACTGTTTGCGGAAAGATAAGGTAACAAAACCTATTTAAATAATCTTTGGTTACACACAAATTCTTAGCAAATGAGAAAAAAAATGTTGTAACTTAAGCTTGAGAATGTTTAAAGTAAGAATTAGGTTTAGAGAGTGAGTTGCACGTACTCTGCATGGGGAAGAAAACACTTATACTTATACCCATTGCATTAAATGCACATTTAATGCAATATGGTAGGGTTAGAGTGCGTGTCAAGCCTTAAGAGGAAGGCTTGTCCTTTGCTACAGTGAATAGTACAAAAAGGACTATTCATGAGCAGACATTCTTACCTAAAGTTGGTGGGCAATAGCGTCAACTAGTCGGCTCCGTACTGTGCCAACATTTAGAAAGGGTATGGGTTAGTCCTTTGTGTGTATAAGGACAAGACAACAACAATCATGCTTGGCGAACTTCTTTTGATCGCTGAATGCTGGAATAACCTGGAGGTCTCTTCAGTATTCGCTGAAGCTTGAGCAGTCTTCACACATATGTAGACAGGCTTGTAATCACTGAGTACCGCTTCAGATCACATACTCACCAGTCTCTGATCTTCAGTTTCAGTCTTCGACTTTGGCTGAAGGTTCTTTGGTGTGAATGTTGTCTTCTTGAAGTATTTCTGTCTCTGATTGAATTACAATACAAATTCTTCAGCGATCACTGAACAGGTTCAGTGATGATCGCTGGAACTGGAAAGACAGAAACATAAATGCAACGTATAAGTGAAAAGGGATTATCATCAAATCACTGAGAGAGAGGATCAACAATCTCCCCACAAGACAACATAAAGAAAGTTGTCTTATCAAATAATAGTAAGGAAAAGTTACATATAAAGTACATATCCCATTTTACTATTTTGGGATCTTTTTCAGTGAGTCAGTCTTTGCTTGAGAATTTTCCTCAAGTCATATCTAAGAGAAAATTACAAGTATGGAAACTGAAACTGAAAGCTTATTCACTGACTTATAGATTGTCAGTGAATGTAAAAGTAACACTGGAACTCATAGACTTGTGTCCCTATTACTTTTTTCAGGGATCTTTTTTAGTGAAGTACAAGAAATACTCATTTTATTATAATTGGTAATATTACAAGTAGTTCAGTACATGTCTAATACTTACACACTAGAAGATTAATCACTGAAAGTAGACATAGTACAATAGATTTACAAGGAAAAGTGAACAATATTACAAAAGAGAACCTATTCTAAAACACTCAGATTTATGTAGCTAGGTACATCTTCACCAAGGTTTCTTCGACGTGGGCATTCCCTTCGTATATTCAAGTCCACGACTTTTCTAGGCATGCTATCATCTATCCAAAGCAAGAGGTAAACCAAATGACCTATTAGACATAGATGTAGCTCTGATATTCTCTGAAATCTGACTTCACCTTCATAGTCAAAGAATATAACTTCAAACTCAGGTTTAAAATGCACAATGTTAGGTGTATAGGGACCCTTATCTGGCAAGTCAAGATTCAACATAGAAATGTCTATACTCTGATGACCCTTTTTGGACTTCATCTAAGGAGAACCTTGTTTCATGTTCGTTCATTAGGAATGCTCCATCATTAGGATCAGAGAGCTTGAGTTTCTTCTTCCCACCATCCGGTACGTAATTGTTTACTCGGTTTCTTGTAAGTCTCGGTTTGCATTTAGATGATTTCTTGAACTCTTTTATTGATAAGAGTTTATTATGTATATGTT